ATAAACAAAACCACTGGTAAATAAAGCGCACCTTAGTATCGATATTTTTTGTTTGAGTATCGATACTTTCGATTCTCGCGTCAGTATCGATATATCGATACTTCGGTTCGATACGCCCATCCCTAGTTTGAATGATGCGCGCACGCCTTCATGTCACGAGTTCAGGGAGTGGATCGGGAAAATTATCTGGATAATATTTTCAGCGATTAACAACATAAATTCTGCTCTGGATCACACAAACCTACTGTATTCCGCCAAAGAGGACTGCGGGTGCAACGCATCATCATTTGGATTACTTGGTACTGCTTTTGACATTTTTGCAATAAATAAATTATTGTAATGGCATTTAGGCCTATCTGTCTGTCATGTTTTTCTTATACTGTACAGAAATGTTTAGGTTTATAGGTAGGAGTGGAATTAGCGACTAAATTATTATTTTTTTACTAAAATGGTTATTTTCCTGCATATTTCGGTCATTTGCGTTTTATATCCTTTTATATTCGCTATAAAATGGGTAGGTTAAGGTTTGGGGGCAGGTTAAGGGGTCTAAAAATCTAAATTGCGTATTAATAAAATAATAAAAAAAAAATGCATATTCGCTATAAAATGGGTAGGTTTAGGTTGGGGGGTAGGTTAAGCGGTCTAAAAATCTAAATCGCTTATTGATAAAATGAAAAAAATGCATTGATACGAATATCTTAATGATATAAAAGATACGTAAATATTTTTACGTTTTTTAGCTAAAAATACGTAGCGATTTGTACGTTTTAAACGTTGAAATACGTCTAAATTGTACGTTTTAGCATTAATAAAAACGTACAAAAGTGTACGTTTTGTGCTTGTAAATGTTACGTATTAATACCTACGTATAAACATGAGACCAGTATTTTCCTGCGTATTTCGGTCATTTGCGTTTTATATCCTTTTATATTCGCTATAAAATGGGTAGGTTTAGGTTTGGGGTAGGTTAGGGGGTCTAAAAATCTAAATCGCTTATTGATAAAATGATAAAAATGCATTGATATGAATATCTTAATGATATAAACAATACGTAAATATTTTTACGTTTTTTTAGTTAAAAATACGTAATGATCTGTACGTTTTAAACGTTGAAATACGTCTAAATTGTACGTTTTAGCATTAATAAAAACGTACAAAAGTGTACGTTTTGTGCTTGTAAATGTTACGTATTAATACCTACGTATAAACATGAGACCAGGCTGGCAAGTCACATGTGAGTAAAACTTTCCCCTTATTAGTTAGATTGCATCTGTTTATATTCTGTTATTCCGCTCATAGAATTAAAAACTGCTACTTATTAAGTAACGCATTTCCAGTTACAGCTTGGTTTGTTGATTCATTTGGTCAGATTGCTTTCTCACCACAAACAAGAAAACCAACCAATAAGATGCACATTTTTGGTCACATGCCCAGAACTACTGCTGTCACGAACAGGTTGTTTGACAGACAGAAAGAAAGAAAGAAAGAAAGAAAGAAAGAAAGAAAGACCTGGAAACATGTACAGTATACAGTCTTAAAAATAAAGATACTTCACGATGCCACAGAAGAACCTTTTTTGTCTAAAAGGTTCCATAAAGAACCTTTAATATCTGAAGAACATTTCTGTTTCACAAAAGGTTATTTGTGGTGAAAGAAGGTTCTTCAGATTATCCACCTTTTTCTTCAACGCGGAAGTAAGCCTATGGGCGAGACTTACGGTTCATTAGCCTCTATAGGGAAATAATGAGGGGAATAACAATGTGCTGTTAACAATATGTTTGCACTATACAAACCAGTGTTTGTAATTAAGATAATGCATTAAAATAATATGGTAAGATATTTTCAATACATTACATTACATTTAGACATTTAGCAGACGCTTTTATCCAATTTTCAATATCAAGCAGCAAAACAAACTGTTTTGTAGAGCTAAAAATAGCTGGACCCGTGTGCGAGACCGTAAGCGAAACCAATAGATTTTACAAATGGCCGCGCCCATTTTTACAGGAAGAAAAAGGTGGATAAAAAGGTAAGAAAAAGATGGTTCTTTAAAGAACCTTTGACTGAATGGTTCTTTGTGGAACCAAAAATGGTTCTTCTATGGCATTGCTGTGAAGAACCATTTAAGCACCTTTATTTTTAAGTGTAAATATTGTTTGACGCAACTTTCTTCTCCATGACAAGCATATTAGAAACAGAAAGTTGTGCAGCATTGCTTTGTTTACCGTAGTAACTGGGGTAACCGTTGTATTTATGCTTTTCATACCGAACATCCAGGCTGGTGAGAACAGTCACTTTTGAAAAAAGTGTTTGCCGAATTAATTATTAAAAATGCAAGAAATGTAAATCTGTAACTCTCTACTGCACACCAGTTGTCCATAGTGAATTTGTGCATGTAGAGTTATGAGCTGTGACCTACAGACTGGAGGTATGTGTGTGTAACGGTGCAGTGCCCACATCCACAACCAGCGGAATACAAAATAGATCCCCATCTGCTGTCTTTGGCATCTTTCCTTCCTTGCACATTCTCGAAGTCTGTGTCCTTTCCCTGACTAAGATAAAGCCCCTTCCCCCCCTCATCTTCAAGATGCACATGTATGCCTGTGCACGAGACCCCTCTCTCTTATACACACACACACACACACACACACACACACACACACACACACACACACACACACACGCGCGCATTCTCCCAGCCTTGAGTATAACTTGTGAGGACAGGAATAGCAGCATGCTGCGGTTTGGAGTATGTGCCGATACTAAGAATAGCACAGAGGGAAGGCGGGGACTCCATGCTGGCTGGGTCCCCCGCGCCTCTCGTTTCAGTGCTATTTTTATCTTACAGGATCCAATCTTAGCTCGAGGCGCGGGGGACCCAGCCAGGGGGGGAGAGGTGCCTCTTTTCTCTCCTTTTCACTTTTTCCTGCAGTGCTGCTTCTGCAAGGTGTCACATGCAGCTTTCACTCCAGCTGGAGAAAGATATCGTTGTGTTTGAGGAGAGAAAGAGAGGGAAGGAATGATGGTTGGTGAAGTGGCAGGTACATAACATGTGAATATATACAAGATACTGTTGCAGCTTTAACCCTACATCAAATCGTTTTTCAATAGGATATACAATTTGAAGGGCATTATGAAGGGATTTGTTTGACCTAGACCACCCAGTACACCCTATCAGCTCAACTGTATAGCAATGCGCTCTCAAAACACCTTAGCAACCGCATAGAAATGCCCTGGCAACCAGCAACAATAGCTTGGCATCTTGGCAGAGACTTTCGCATACGCAAGCACTTCATTTCCTTCAGAAAATGTAAAAATCAAGTTTGTGTGTGCCATGAGACATAGCAGATCAGCATCGATGCTCATTTCACATGTATGCAACCCCAGAATGCACAAGGAATACTAATGAACACACATTCGCACATACAGTTGCACGTAATTGCAGAGCTGGTGAGAATAGACGTGTGATTATTGGGGAAGCTTCCCTATTACTGTTTGACTGTGTGTGTTTGTGCACTGGAGCTTTGGAAGAAAAAGGTAATGCATTCTTTCCTCTCTTTCTTGTTATACTTAGCTGTGATTGACTGAATTTGGCGACTCGAGGGACATGGAAATGCCTGAATAAACACCTCGTTCTCTGGAGGAGGGGAGGGAGGGAAAGAAAGTGAAAACTTCTGTAGAAACACCAATTTAAGCATCTTACACACATGCACACATGCTCCCCTCGTGCCACTGGAGTCTGTGTTACTAAGATTGGAAGGAGATTGCTAAAAATAAATTCTGCTTTAGGTGGGGTGTGGGACTGCAGACCGAGCGTGGGGGTGGAGACCATGAGAGGAACGGGGAAAAAAACAAGATGCGAAGAAAGAGAGAGGAAGGGTGCGGAGAACGGGAGGGGGGTTGCTGATAAAGATGGAAAGATTTCAGTCAAATTGAATAGGGGAGAACAAATGGAGGGATGGGAAGAAAGGGATGGGGGAGACGTTAATTAAGATTTGCTCAAAACCTTTTATTTTTCCTTCTCTTTCCTTCCTGGTTTATGTTTGTTAGTAATAGAGGGATGTGGGCTGTGTGTGTGTGTTGCCACCCTATAGCGACGGACTTTGATTGACATTGTCTTTTATGTGTTTTGACAAAACAAAAATAAACAGTGCCGCCTCTCCTCTCTGCAACCTCTTCTGTGGAGCCGCAGAATAACGCTGCTTGCAGCCATTCTTTTTATGACATTCTAAGAACATGCAGTGCTGAGAGTTAACAACCAAGAAATCGAAAAAAAATTTTAGCTTCTACAAAGACAGTGTTTTTGTGGGCAAAAACCAATTGAGGTTCCTTAATCTAGTACAATGGAAAATATGCAGAGAGTTGAGCTAGAGGTTGAGAAACATGGTAGAGAGGAAGAGTGGAACAAGAAAAATCAACAGGCTGTGTTAGTCTGCCACGCACTGGTCATAACTCTTTACTACCCATTTGAAAATAATTTTCAGAATTACTTGCTATTGAAGACCACGAATGGTTTTATAAATATAAATTGTTATTTAATAACTAGATTTGCATTTTTAGAAGGAAGTGCTTGCAAGGGCACAGTAGAATAGGGTTAATGTTGGAAGTAACCCCCACTGTAAAAAATGACTGAATTTAACGGTAAAAGACTGTAAAAATGCTACAGTAAAAACCTGTTAAATGGTTAACAGTAAATTCCCCTACTATATACAGTGAAAAACTGTATTGGACATTACATGTATTGGACATTAATTTTACGGTAGTATACCGTTTTTGGAAGTGAAAAAGACCGTATAATTTACAGTGAATAACCATAAATTGACATTCCCAGAATTCCCTGCATTACATTTCAAATTTGATGTTTTTTTGTTGAAATAACTATGTTTCTTCTTAGTTTTTTCTTATCAGTTTTGTATATTAGGGTTGTGTGTTACACCTAATGTTGTTAAATTAATGTTTATTGCATTATTTCAGTTTCATGTGTGTTACCATGATGGTGTTTGGTGTTTGTATGAATGACACTGTACACCTTCTATATATGTTATTATCTAAAAGCTGCTTGTGATGGGCTTTGGTTCATCATGTGACTTTCTCATCACCACCTGCATTTGGTGGTTATCAGTGTATTACAAAGGTGCAAAACAGATTTCAGTACTTCAGTAGGTTGGTATTTTAACATGTCAGTTAATTAAAATACGGTATTTAACTGTAAATTTAAGTTAAAACCATAAAACCTAAAACGTTGCTAACGTATTTTTTACGGTAAAATTCCGGCAACCACAGCTGCCGTTTTTTTACCGTAAATTTTACGGAATTTTTTTTACAGTGTAGGTTCAACACAATTCCACAGTTTCATGGCAGTGAAAAGTGATTATAGATAGCTAAATAGATGTAAGATCACAATTGTGACCTTGCACCACAAAACCAGTCTTAAGTGTAAATTTTTCGAAATACTGCTGAATAAATAAGCTTTCCATTGATGTATGGTTTGTTAGGATAGGACAATATTTGGCTGAGATACAACTATTTGAAAATCTGGAATCTCAGGGTGCAAAAAAATCAAAATATTGAGAAAATCACAAAATATCTTCATGGAACATGATCTTTCCTTAATATCCTAATGATTTTTGGCATAAAAGCAAAATGTATAATTTTGACCCATACAATGTATTTTTGGCTATTGCTACAAATATACACCAGCGACTTAAGACTGGTTTTGTGCTCCAGGGTCACAGTTTAGCAAATAACTGCAGGTGATAAGGCCAGTCACTATTCAGTATCCAAACTTTGCAGTCAGATGTGAACATTTCGTTCAAGACGAAGAATGGAGGATTTTCAAACTGTAGAAACATACTGTATATACACTAACATTCATGTTTTTGAAAGAGATCTCTTTATTTGATAAAAAATACAGTAATATTGTGAAACATTATAACTTAAAAAAACTCTTAAAATGTAGTTTATTTCTGTTAAATTTTTTAAAGCCATTACTCCAGTCTTCAGTGTAACATGATCTTTCAAAAATCATTCTATTTTTTTATATTTAAACAAATGATCAGAATCAAACTAAGAGGCATGAGCTGAATAATAATAATAATAAAATAGAATGGCTGAGAAGTAGTTACCTTGCGAGTACTGTAGTAAAATAACTCTAATTTTACCACTTAAACTCACTTCTGCTGATCTAAGGCATGTGTATCTACTGCATTTCATACAGACACAAACATAACTAAATCTGCTCTGTCTCTCTCAGCTGGACTGGGAAAGCAATGGTGGTCTGGTGAAGAAACTTCCTGCTATCCGTGAGGACGATGAGAATGATGAGGAGCAGCACTCCGTGTCAAGGGCCCCACGTTCTCCCCTTCGCCTGACCCGGGGCCTCAGCTCCCCCCTGAGATCACCTCTTCTCCCCCCTCGCCCCTTCCGCCCTCCGTCAGACCACACGCGACCCGCCACCCTCCAGATCCCTGTGGTCAGTTTCAGCAGCGCTCCACCAGAACTCAGCCCCAGGTACACACACATCGCACATCACATCCTCAATGAGCTGTAGCCCTCTGGTGGCTCTCATAAGAACTTTACTGATTCATAATTTAGAAGTATCCAGCTTCCATGACAACCAATTTGGGTGGAATAGCTGCTTGCTCTAGTAATTGGCTCTTCAATTTTATACTAAGAATTCAAGACTTATCTACAACTTGAATTTAATGAGCAAAAAGTAAAGGAATCCATTTCTATCTAGGCATTTTTATATTACATTATCAGTCAAAGGTTTGGAATAATTAAAATGTTATTATGTTTTTGCAAGACGACTCTTATTTTAATATATTTTAAGATGGAATTAATTCCTGTGATAGCAAAGCTGAATATTTAGCAGCCATTACTTCAGTTTCAGCGTCACATGATCCTTCAGAAATCATAATGGGAATAAATTACTGTACATGAACAACAATGCATTTGTCTGATGTCTCTGCAGGTTTGTGGATGGCATAGAGACAGAAAGCAATTCCAGCGCAACACAAAGGTTTGAGTTCGGTCCCACCCTACCTCAGAGCGGTCCTCCATCGCCTTACCCAGGTACATACACAACTACAACACAGAATGCGATTTCTGGAAGGAAATATTATGAAGTAATATTTCCAAAAATAGACTGTCTTGCACAGTCAGACTTATTCTGCAGCTTATTCTGTCCAAGAAACGCCCACTTAGACAGGAAGGGACCATCTGATCAATATGTAAAAGCCAACTTTTTTTTTTTTTTTAACGTGACATTTAGGGCTGGTACATCTGAAATTGGATATGAACCTCAAAGCAATACAGAATATTTTGCTGCTCAGGGATATTTGTCCCACTAAATGTCTCAATCAAAACTCTTAAGTCCTTTGAGGATAAGACTTGATGCCACAGACCTTGAACTTTACAAACCTTAGCAAATCCATTTATTAATGTTTCCTTTCAATCATTCGTCGTAACAGCTTGGGAACTTCACTAATGCAACTTCTGATACACAGTGAGAAATTAAAGCTGGCCAATCAGATTGCAGCTCTTACAAGTTTTGTGTGCAATATGGATCAGACGGTCAGGGAACTTCAGGGAACTTCTTCATCCATCCAATCTTTCCCCTTCCTCTCTACAACAAACTCATTTTGTGCGGGTTTGTTTGCAGTGAACCAGGAGCAGCTGGAGACCAAGCAGAGCATCACCAAACTGAGTGAGGAGGTAAGTGAAACAAACACATTAAATCAGAATAAATCAAATTATATTCAACATAAATATAAACATGCTTTCCCTGGTTTCACGTCAGTGTGACGCAAACCTCCAGATCAATTCCAATCTCAAGTACTACAACAATGTGGATAGAGTTTTAGTACTCGGAACTGGAATAGGTATTGAGTGCAGGACAAGACCAAGACCATGGAAATATGGTTTGGACTCGGACAAACTCCTGAGTACTACAACACTGCACAACTTGCAGCTTATAAAATCCTTTTATATCTGTAAAGATGTCTGAAAAGTAGATCAGGCTCTACCAAAACCAATAAGCCACTAGAGGCCATGCATTACATTGATTTTACCACTTTTAAAGGGTGTAAGTCAAGAGGCTTATTGATTTTTGTAAAAAAGGCTGCACTACAGCACTATCATAAAATACATCTTTGTTCAGTAAGTACAGGATAATATAGCGTAAGCTGGTCAACATTGCAAAATAAACCCAGAGAGACTGATCAGGACCCTGATGTCAAGCGAAAAGCTCTTTATATCGTAAAACGACTTAATTTTGTGATTCGAGAGACATGCAGCCACTACAGCCATAAGGAAATAGTTACCTGGGACATTGTTTAATGTGAATAGCTTTGAATGAAGAACATCCAGTCAGATTTCATAGCCAGAACTATATGTTCCATAACTTACATTCTGTTGATCTCATTTACAGATGACTAGTCTATCCCAGCAAGTCTCTCAACTGAGCAAAGAGCTACAGGAAATGACACGTCTCCTCCGGCCCTTGCTTGTCATTGGATCTCAACCTCTCCTGACAGCCCTCAGTCCAACAATGCCTCCATCTCCCAGCAGTAGCAGCGGTCCAACTATATCCACGCCACCAGCTCTTTCGCCCACAGCCCCATGGTCTGCACCGCTCAGACCTACTTGCTCCCTATTGGACAGCACAGACACTGGGAGCATTGGCTTGCCCAGCTGTCTCATACCCACCAGCCCGCCGCAGAGACCCCAAGCACAGGCTCAGGCAGGCTGTTCGAGTGGACCTTCCTTGCCAGTCCTTCTTTCTCCAGTGACAGCCCAAACGGATGGAGAAGGCACCCAGGCAGCTTCAGCCCAGCCACTGCAAACCAGCCATCCTGCATCCCCATCTCTAACCTTTTCCTTCTCGCTCCCTACTTTCCGCTCCCAGTCTACTTCCTGCTCTCCCTGCCAGGGTCCTCACCGACCTGCCAGTCACAGCAGAGGTTTGCTACCTCGACCCCCCTCACAGGACACCCCACCTCCACCACCCTCTCATTGCTCTGCACCACCCTCGATCAGTAACTCTCCTGGTGACCACAGGCTGGGGATCAGTCCGTTTCCCTCATCCCCTTCCTCCACTGCCACCGCCCCTCGGGTCCAGCCACAGTCGTGCACCCCTCCTTCTTGTCCGCACACCTCCCCACCCTTGCCCTGCTCCCTGGACTCCCTGCCAGAAACCCAGGCCTCTTTTGGCACCTCACGGTCCCCGCAGAACCCCAGGCCGGGACCTCCTCAGTTAGAGTTTGAGATGCAAGAATGGGCAGCAGGAGGGAGGCCTTCCACAGAGCATATCAGCTTTATAGATGAAGAGGGACCAGCACTGTGAGAGACTGAAAGATGAATACTATGACTAGTTGACTTAGCAAATAGGGGAGCGGTGAACTGGGCCGACTGCAATTACCCCAACACACCTACTTTCTGAATGACAGACAAAACTGATTGCTGTTCCTTCAGGACGACACTTGTAATTGGACAGCTTGTGGCTCTGTTCCAAACCCTAGTGAGCTATCTACTTATAAACAGCATTTTTAGGCATCGTAGGCACGCTACTGACACCTTTGATGATGCTTTCTTTTAAAAAATACCTAGTTTTGGCTAAAATCTATATCACTATCATATGTATGCATCACGGATAAGACATCTCAGAATGCATTCAGTGAAACGTTTTATCCAGCATTGTCCCACCTTGTTACCTAATACAAAACCACATGAGACTCTAAAGCTGCATTCATACCATGCCGTAATTACTGTTATTCTAATTATTCTTCCATTAAGTCATAGTCAATTATGAGAATTATTAGACAGAAATATTACAGAAAAGCTACATCTTACTGCTGAAGCCACTGCTATTTTGAGTGTTCCCACATGATTTTGTAGTGGTCAGTAGTACAAGTTGAAGCTCATAAAATTCAGTTTATGTAATTACACAACCTACAAGGACGTGAATGCTGTTTACAAGTCGGAATCTTGTAATTGAAGTAATATCAACATGCACATTTGTTCACAGCAGGCTCCGGTCTCATTTTAGCATGCTGCTAACGCTAACAGAACTTGTCAACAAAGAAAAGTATTGATAGGAACAGTTCCATATAATTATAAATTAAAATGTTTAGTCTAATATTGTGTGTTAGACTCTGTTGGAATCAACTGTGAACAAGTATCTTGTGCTGTTGGTTAGGCTAATGTGTTTTGATGGCGTTTAGTATGGATATGGGAACTTTTCAGCTGGTCAGGCTGAAAGAATGCTATTTTTCAGCAAGGAGAATTGCTACTCATGAAAACGGTTTCAATTCGGTCATCTATGAAGTTCCTTTTTGGTTAGATTGTAGCTGCCTATGTAGACAGCTTATAATAAGGTAGCTTACTATGATTTGGAACAGAGCCACTATGGTATTCACCACTTGGGAGCACCTCAGTACCTGACATCAGCCAGTTAGTTCCTCTGAGCACAACTTCATGGAGTTCCTCATGGAGGCATTATAGGGTCTTCACAGGCATCATTGTCAACATAAAGCATGGTGACCAGAACTGCGAAGATCACACTGTGGTCATACATTGCTATGGGAATTTAATATAACAAGTAAAAATACACTGATTGCCTTGCATGGCTGTGCACTAATCATGCACAGAATACCGGAAATGTCAGGTGGTGTTTCTTATCGCTGTTTTACCAAAACAATGTTTTTACTCTACAAATTACCCACCTTCCCTGTTGAAAAAACCATCATATGCTGGTTAGGTATGTTTTGACGCTGGGATGAATCGAGTTCATATTTGAATTTCCAGAATTGATAAATGAATGAGCTGTCACAACACATTATCCATAATACTTCATTTGTTTCAATCAGTCTGTCCCAAGCCACTTAACACATTTACTAGCCAGAATCATGAGTTGCATATTTAGTCAGATTGGAGACCTTGGGAAATGCCTGTCCTCCACTTCTAAAAAATGATAAATTTCAGTCGGTTTATAGATGTATTCATTATATTCAGTCAAAACAAATATGATTTAGAGGAAGCTGAAAGTGTAACACTTCGCTCACATGCACATATACAACCAGGGTCCAAAATTAACTTTTGCAACACCCGCATATAGTGGATGAATTGAGATCATTCATATGGTAATTCATTCATTCTATATATAGATAGATAGATATATTTTATCAATAGTGATAGGGAATACACACACACACATTCCCTATCACAATTGATTTATTTAGCACATTGACATTCACAGTATCACAATTAATCCACCCATCATAAAAAAAAAAAAAAAAAATTTGGTTTCATTTCAGTGGTTTGTCATAATTTCTACAGCTATTACAATAGAAAAAAGTTCAAATTTTCACTTGCATTGCTTAGATTGGATTTGTTCAAGTTGCAGAGCAGCCAAAACTATCATTCATACAGTGTAAAAAAAAACAAAAATGTATGTGGAAACTGCTAAACGCATTACCAGCCATCTGGCTGTTTCATTTACTCGCCAAAGCCAATTAACTCACATTTGCACTTGGCAAGTGTTAATTTTTGACCCTGCACACACCATGCATGACATGCTAAGCACTCTAGCATGTATTAGCCTAAGTCATGTTCTGTTGCCCAAGTTACACATTTAAAAGAAGTCATAACAGGCATACTCAAGACAATCATCAGAATACCATACAGATCAAAATGCTCAAACTACATCATTGTAACATGTGAAACAGTAACCATATTTAGCAGTCAGACTATGAAGGGGTCGGCATGCCATATGCTGAGCAGCCCATGTAGGGTTCTGAGAGCTTGGCATGACACCTAATGAACAGCCACAGAAGTTAGCATATCTACAACTGAAATAAACACATATACACAGCTTTAGCCATCCAGCCAGCGTGCCTTCTCATTAAATATAAACAAAAAATCTTATAACACTCCCCATTTTTCAGCTTTCACAATACTTGTCAAAAAAAAAAAAGCTGTTGGTCGTTTCACAGTAGAGAGGCACTGCACTTTTATTTCACTGATCTATTTATTTAATGATTTTATGTATTTATCTAGCTATCTGCTATCCTGATAAGAATAGACTCCCATGAGGAACCTCACAGATGATTCTTGCAGCTGGTGCCCAACAGAAGCAGAAACACCTCAAACTGAATTCGTTCCTCACCACCGTGTGATTATGGATTTCAGTAATGAAGATCACCTCAGCATCTCTATGATATCTGATGACCAGCAAGAGACTGGCTGAAACAGAGCAGCCAGTGTCACTTCTTTTCACTAGTTGCCATATAATATGGCACATCTCTTGGAACCAGACTGATATCATCTCGTTTTATCAGTTTGTTGGACACATGGCACGTGCGCCATCTGTCCACCCTAACGTGTACTTGCTTGAATAGGGAAGGGGCACGTTGTTTATAACACAGAATACTTTGGTTTCTATTTTCTTTACCTAGGTCAGGGGGTACAAATATGGATAGTAGAAACTTTGATGGACTTTGGGGTCTGGGGTTTCCTGCATGTCCATTTAATTTGCATGAGGAATGTGCCTGCATATATGGGGGGAGGGGTTGAACTGCACGACCCAAGGCAAACGGGTCCAGATGTATTTTATTAACTGTAATGAGGTTTATGAGAGACACTTACCAGGATAATAAAACAAAAGGTGATGTTTTCTAAGAATAAAGTGTTCTTCTGTGTTCCTTTTAAAACTACTTTATCAGAAAAATTCATAAAATATAAAGCATATTTGGTTGATTTTAAATAATTATTTTAAGTCAACCAAATACTTTAGTTTGTCAATTTATTGTTTTTTATTTTTTTTTATTTTTTGGGGGGGTTTTCTGCTACATTTTTGGACACAAAAGTAGAAGAAAGGACATTTGGATTCAAACCATAGACTGTAAAAAAAAAAAATCAAAACCTATCATGACACCACACCCTGTTTTTATAGCATCAAATAACTAATTACGCAAACTTAGAAAAACAGACACTTGAACATAAATCAGCATTTTAAGAAATAAAATCATGGAAACCATCTTTGGGAAACATTTATTTGAAGTGCAACTTGATTTTTTAGTTTGGCTTAAGGGCTCATTTGTTTACTTGGAGAAGGCAGGGTTTATGACCTGTACTGCAGTCAGCCACCAGATGGCAATCAAAATGTTAAGTCTTCACTTTTCAAGATGTGTATTTTTCTTGATTCAATCATGTTTTCCCCATATGAGCACCAAGGCTAAACATATCTGAAACATGTGATAACTGACAGAGTTCATCATCAGTTAGTCATTCAGAATATTTAGATTTTTCTGCAACATTTCTGTGGTAGAAGATATGATATTATTTGGGAAAAAAATAGGTCACAGGCAGGATTCAAACCAGTTTTTCCAACATAAGCACCAAAGCCTGACATTTCTAAACCATGTGATATCTGCTAGGCCTCATCTCCAAGCTCTTCTGTGCTAAAAAGCCCTTCCCAACCCAGAAAAAAGACACAAAGCAGTGGGCTGCACCATGGCAGAGGCCTGCATATATTTGAGTGGAAATATTCACTATAGAGCTTCAAAAAGGGAGTTATGAGGACACTGATTTGTGTAGAGATAAAGATAGTGAAAATGAGAAAACAAGGAACCTGTGTAAAGAGCAAACAAACTTTCACCTTCTATGTGGGGTTGGATGTTTTGGACGAAATGTCTTTGTGTATGACCCAACATGCTGCCTCTCCAGACATACCCACATCAGCCTAAATTACAGAGAGGAAAATACAAAGGGGGAAAACAACCTGCAAGGGAAATTAAAAATCAAAAAAATATATTTATATATTTATATTTATATTTATATATATTTACGAGGTATGTATCCACAAAAAAGAACAAAAACAAGTCTTTTTCTAACCTTGTGTTAAAGTCCCAATTAAAATAATAATAATAATTGTTACAATAATAATAATATCAATAGTAAATCGGCAAACCAAAATAAGGAGACTAAGCTCCTAGAAGCGTAGCACTGAGAGGTCGGTCAGCTTTCTCCAAAGGGAGTCCAAAGCGTCAAAGCCTCAATCCACCAGGTGGCACTGCAACAAACTTTGAGGAGCTTTTTTCCCTTCACATTAAGTGCAAAAAACAAACAAACAAAAATATAATAGTTCCAAGAGTTCAGCAGAAATGTATTAAGCCAATGTAGCTGAAAGCCCAAAAGGTGTTGTGGCCCCTTGGAAACCGTGTCTCTTGATTTATGAAGCTGTTCAGGGTCTCTACAACAAAAGGTATCTTGTGCAACAAAACAAAAGGAAGAGCAAAACGAAACTCGAATCTAAAACAAAAACTCAGGAGATGTGATCCTCTTAGAGATTGTTATTGAGGCCGTTTCCCGTCTTCCTTCGAGGTCATGCCAAATACTGCTGCATAGCCGTTTTTGCCCTGAGAGAAAGAGGGAGATGTGTAGAGTCAAATCATTATGGCAACAACCCAAACAAAAGATGAAACAACTACCAACAGATGAATGAAAGTCTGTCCATCACCTGTCACAGAGGTTGGGATCTGATGCCTGGGTGAGTTTGTGTAAGATATCAACAAAGCCCATGTCCTTTAGCTTGTCTTGTCTCTCTTGTGAGCCTGGAGGAAGCGGAAAAACACAAACTTGTACTCTTGACAATACACAAAGAGTCCTATTTAACTCGAGGACTGGTCTCACTATCAGATATAAATAAACAACACCAAATCTTAACAAAATGTATTTCCAATGCTGCACTGTTGTCATTCTCGGAAAAAGGATCAGATGCCTGAACCAATTGTTTAGAGGAGTAATAATAATACTACTAATAATAATAATAAGTATAAAATATTATTATTATTTAATAAAAATATTAATATGATTATATAAATATTTAGGACAAAGTTAATGTTAAGATGTTAATATTTCATAAGTATTTTCCATTGCATTTAATTAATAACACCATTAAATTTAACATAATGACTTTGTTTTATTGTCTTCTTTCTTTAGAACATTGAATGTCTTAAATTAAACTGTATATTTAGATGGAAATTTAAA